ATATTTTACTAAGTAGTAGAGAAAATAAATTATTAACGAACTATACATTGTTATCTATAACTTCCTTTCTAATGAATGTCTAAGATTTAGCACAAAATACCAAATCAAATTTATTAAAAACTATAGTAGTTTTAATTATATTTTACATGATAAAACATAATTCTGAAACCTTTGTTTCAGTTTTCAAATATAAAGTTGAGATACAAATCGTTAAGAACTATCTAAGGCCTTAATGATAATAAAGAATGAATTAAATCTTATTTGATATGATTTACTTTCTAATTTGTAGAAATTTCCTTTTATTTCTTTGGGATAACACATATAACACTATTAATTGTACCTTGAATACAAATATCAACTAATAAGTAGATAAATCATTTTCTTTATAAGATTTTGATTGGAAAGGTTCCATCCCTATCTTATTAAATGTTTTTTGGATTTAAAGCCTATGTTGGACTAAAGATTTTAAACCCAAAATTTACTACATACATATTTGTATAATACTCTAAATAAGGCTTAGATTATTATATTCAATCCCACCAAGAATAATTTCTCTTATTTCTCTGATAGTTGAGGTAGCAGAAAGCAAGCTTCTAATGACAATGAAAGTGGGAGGTATATGGAACTTGAAGCAGCTCAAGAACCATAACCTGATGTAGTAATAATTGGCACTAGTTTTAAAAATGATTGTTAAAACCCAAGACATAAATTTCTAAGTCTTCCGTTGCTAGATCTTATGTTTTTGAAACTTATTTTGAAATAAAACCCAACACATAAATCCTAACCATAAATTTATAAACCCACATTAGGGAAGTTCTGTTTTAAAAATAAAAAAAAATAAAAAAAAAAAATTTCAAATACACTTACATTTATTGAACACATTTTAAGGTTATTGGCTATTTGAAAATCTAATAAATAAATAAGTCATTTTCTAACTCAATCCAAACAGCCACTCAAAGCATGACAAATACTATCCCCATTAACAACCCAACCCAACCCATACCAATACAATTTAACTTTTCTATTAAAAAACTAATTTGTTTTTTTTCCATCTACACTACTCACACTACTAAAACATAGGCATTTAATGACACACATTGCGTGTCATAAAAGGGTACAGATGACATGTAAGTACCTGTCATCAAAAGTATCAGTCATAAAGGAAGACGACACACATTTATGTGTCATAAATTTACAACACACATTTATGAAGTGCGTTTAAGACATTTATTTACGACATACAATTTGAGTGTCATAATTTTAAGGGTTCTTTTTAAAAAATATATTATAGGTTTACTAATTTTCAAATTAAATGAAATTTAATGTCTTATAATACAAAATAAAACACATATATAACAAAACAATCCATTTCATACCATAAATATACTAATATTCAAACTAAATCACATTCAATAATTTTATTATACAAAAAAAATATCATGTATGTAAATAATCTCTCTACATTTTACTTTAAAAATATAATCAATAATTAATGCAACATTTGAAGGTAAAGAATATAAAAAATTACAATTTAGAAAATTACCCCTTAACACGAGAAACCTAATTAACTTAGAAAGCGAATTAAAAAGAAGGTCGTGCATATAACATGAGAAGTCACCGTGTGCTCAAGAAACTGACCATAAATGAATTTGTTATTTACCTTCTTTATCCGTTTACAAATTACCCTATAGTTGATTCTATCAAGATTTCATCTGGGCTTACTTGAAGTAACTGTAGAATTGTAAATTATCAGTAATTTTTTTTTGTGTAAATAGAAATAAATGAACGCAATGAGGTTTACATACATTAGCAAGGGCATTTGATAAATCTATTACATCTTGGAAACATGTATCACCTTGTAACTCATATAAGGTCATTTAAGCAACAAAATTATAAATCCCATGCCTAATTAAGAATTCATATGAAAGCTACCTTTGCCGCATTTGCTTGACTAACATTTATCAAGACCGCACGAACCTAAGAAGTTCCATAATTGAAATCAGTTGAATAAATTTAAAAGATTTGGTACAAAAAAGTTATAGAGAAATGTCACTGTTGTAAATTTTTGTAACGTGCTTTTTCAATAAATATACATCAAATAGTACATACAATGATAAAAACATAGGGAAAATGACACATATAACCCACGAACTTTTTAGGGTTGACTCATTCAGTCCCTAATGTTAATTATGTGTCTTTTAAGGGAACAAAGTTGGTGGTGTCGGGTCTAAAACGTCCTTTTTGAGAAACGAATGGGTAACCCGGTTACCCCTTTTGACAGGTCACGTATTTTTGCATTTTAGTAATTAAAAATAATAACAGGGGCCCACAACTTTCTCTCTCTCTCTCTATCTCTCTCTCTCTCTCTCTCTCTCTCTCTCTCTCTCTCTCTCTCTCTCTCTCTCA